TGGTGTCACAAACAGGAGAGTAATCCCTTGCACTACAGTATTAAAATGGCTACAGTGTCACTAGGAGATAGAAATTTTTCAGCTCCATTATAATCTTATGGGCCCACCATGGTATATGCAGTCCATTGTCGATGGAAACATCATCATGGGACACGTGACTGTATTATAATTTATTGAATTGTTCCACTATTAATGGACATTCAGGTCCTATTTTTAGGTATGGGCCACTATGTCTTCTATTTATTAAATTATTGTTTCCCCAGACTTTTTCAAAATGTAAAAGAAATAAATAACAGAGTAGGTACCTCTAAAACTAGAACATTACAGAATCTGAGTATATTTTAAAAATCTCCAAACTTTATAATAGCATCCTAAAATTGGAGATTCTAAAGGAACTCCAGCAGAACAAGAAGTTGACGATTGGAGGATCTAGGTCAGCATTTCTTTTTTGTTTTTAAAAACAACTTTATGGAGGTATAATTGCTAATAAGCTAAACATTTAAGCATGCAAATTGATCAGATTGAAACCATCACCACAATCCATCCATCATCATAAAGCTTCCTTGTGCCCTTTGTCATTGCTCCCTCTGGCTCCTCCCTGCCTCCTTCTTTCTTTCCTCACCAGCAGTCACTGAGTTACTTTCTGTCACAATCTATTTATTTGCATTTTCTTGAGTTTTAGGGGTCATACATATACTCCTTTTTATCTGATGTTTTCACTTAGCATAATTATTTTGAGATTCATCCATATGACTGCAAGCGTGGTTCATTACTTTTCATTGCTGAGTTGCATTCTGTTATATGGGTATGCCACAATTTGTGTATTCATTCACCTGTCAATGAATATTTGGATTATTACAGTTTTTACATATAAAGCTGCTATGAACACTCATGTTCAAGTCTTTGTATGGATATATGCTTTTCTTTCTTTTAGGTAAATATATAGAAGTAGAATGGTTGGATCACCTGGTAAGTATACATTTAACATTTCAGAAAACTAATACTTTTTCAAAGTGGCCATACAATTTTACACTCCCAGTAGTAGTGTATGAGAGTTCCAGTTGCTCCATATTCTGGTCAACACTTGATATGGTCAGTTTTTTAAAATTTTAGCCATTCCAATTAGTGTGTAGCTATCTCATTGTGGTTTTTAATTTGCATTTCCTCAGTGACTAATGATGTTGAGCATCTTTTCATGTGCTTACATGCCAACTGCATATTTTCTTTGGTAAAGTATATGTTCAACACATTTACACACTTTTAAAATATTTTTTTTATTATTGTTGAGATTTGAGAGTTCTTTATATACTCTGATATGTCTTTATCAAATACCTGATTTTCAGATATTTCTTACATTTTGTGGCATTTTTTTCATTCTATTAGTGGTATATGTTGAAAAGCAGAAATTGTTAATTTTTATAAAATCCAGTGTATCTATATTTTTCTATTTATGGACTGTGCTTTAATTCTAAGTATTTTATATTTTTGATTGGCTATTATAATTAATAGTTTTTAAAAAGGTAATTCATGATTGTTGCTAGCATATAGAAATATATCTGATTTGTAAATACTTATCTTGTATCATGCAAACTTGATAATTCATTTATTAGTATGAGTAGCTTTTTGATGGATTCTATTAAATTTTCTATACAGGAGTCAATGTTGTATGTTTTAAGAAAAACAGTCTAATTCTTCTTTTCCAATCTGAATACCTTTTATTTCTCTTTTTTTTATTTATTGCACTAACTAAAATCTCCAATGCAATATTGAGTAGAAATTGTGAAAGTGGATTTCCTTGTCTTATAACTGCTTTTTGGAAAAACATTCCCTTACCCCCACTACACTTTCTAGACTCTGGTAACCCTCATTCTCCCTCTGCCTCCATGAGATCTACTCTCTGCCTCCCTGAGATCAACTTGGATTCATGAGACAAACTCCACTTACTCATGATGTTTTTGGATGTGTGATGTTAAATCAATTTACTGAAATTCTCCTTAGAATGTTAGCACTTACATTCATAGGAACTGTTGTTTTCTTTTCCTGTAATGTTTTTGTATATCAGTATCAAGGTAATGTTGGCCTCATAAAATGAATTGGAAAGTATTTCTTCCGCTTCATTTTTCTAGAAGAGTATGTATAAAATTGGTATTATTTTTCCTTAATTGTTTTGTAGAATTCACCAATGAAGCCATCTGGGAGTGGAGTTTTCTTTGTGGAAAGTTTTTAACCACACATTCAAATTCTACAATAGATATAGGATTATTTAGATACTCTATTTCTTCTATAGTGAGTTTTTTTGTCTTTGTATCTCTCATAGAACATGTTCATTACATTTAAGTTGTTAAATGTATTTGCATAAAGTTGTTCACAATATATCCATAGTATTTCTTTAATATCTATAAAATATTCAGTGTTTTAATTGCTCTCAGTACTGTTATTGGTCCTTTGTGTTTTCTCTTTTTTATTTCTGATCAGTTGGACTAGCTCTTTTTATTCATCTTCACAAAGAACCAGCTCTTGATTTAATTAATTTTCTCTATTGGTTTTATGTTTTCTATTTTATTATTTTCCATTCTGCTCTGTATTATTTCCTCTCTTCTGTTTACCTTGTGTTTAATTTGTTCTTTTTTCCCTCTGATTTCTTAAGGTGGAAGCTGAGGTCACTGGTTAGAGATCTTTCTTCTTTCCCGATACAGCAATTTAGTGCTATAAAATACCCTCTAAAAACTACTTTAGTGGTATCACACAAACTCTGATACATAGTGTTTTACATTTTCTTTTTGATTTTTTTTTTAACTCTGTACTCTTTAATCTTTTCAGTACTTCTTTCTCTGGCCTCAGGTAGCTTTATCACCTGCATGTGTCTGTCAGCACTATGCTGAATACTTGAGAGGAACCCTCTGCAGGTGTCCATAGTTCTTTCTGTGCAATACTCTTCTCTTTGCTACTCTGTCTTGTGAACGCTGTTCTCCTTGATTTCTCTTGAGCTAGTCTCCTCAACTTAGGTAGTTGTACTCTGCCTGAGTTCCTTCTCTCTGAATGATGACCTTCGTTGTCTTATATCCACTGTCTTAACTTTAATATATTTTGTTCAGTGTATTGGTCGTATGATTGAGAGAACAAATCTGTTCCCTATTACTCCATTTTAATCAGAAGGTGGCAGTATTCTTACTTATTTTTTACAACTCAGTACTGGATGTTAAAATCATTGTATTGAGTTATTACATGCATTTAAGAATGAAATGGTGTAGAAGAGGATATATTAGTTTATTCTATGTACTAAGGGTAAGGAAGTTTTGTATTGTGACACTTCTTTTTTTGTTAGTATATGCCTTTATGTATGTGTTCATTGGGTTGTGATATAAAAGGCATTTCTTATTGTGGATCATGATCAAAATAGTTTGAGAAACATTGCTCTAGGTACATCATGGTTCGGTGCAGGTAGGAGCCTGCAACACTTTGTTTCTATGCCTGCATTGAAGGGATCTGGAAAAAAATCATCTCTATATTGTTCATCTGAAAAATGTTCACCATCTCTTACAAAGTCATGATCTGAGAATCCTTGAAGTGATCTCTGGGACATATCTTTTAGGTCTTAAAATCGAGATAGATCCACAATTCTATCAGTTAAGAAATAACTACTGATCGCCAATGTGTTCTAGACACTGTCCTTGGAGGTGTTGAGTTAACAGCATGAGTAAGTGGGAGGCCCTCTCTGGCCCAGTGCTGAAGCATATCTGGCTACTAAATGAGACAGAAAGTAAGGCAAGGTTTTAAGTAGTGCTATGAGCACTCGGAACACAAGGAAGATTTGAAATTTTGAAGGTGAGAAGGAGCGTGTCTGGGGGAATAATCCAGGTTCTTGCAGAATTAGAGGTTAAGAAAGTAAGATCTCAACTTTATTTTATTTATCCATTAAAAATACACATATATTTTAATACCTACTATGTCCTTGAGATATATCAATGAACAAAATAGACAAAAATCCCTGCCTTCATGGAGTGTACATTCTACTGGGAGAAATTTAAAATATATATATGATAAGTAAATGATCTGTCCAAAAGACAAACTGCTATGGTTGAAATAGTAGAGCAGAAGTAGGGTGATTAGAAGTAGGACTGCAAATCCTAATTTTAAGTGGGAGACAGTCAGTGGAATATATTTAGAATTCAACTGTAATAGTAGCATGTATTTACTCTAATAGAAATTCTACAACTATTCCAACATAATTGGAATCTTGTGGTGTACAAACCACCACCACCGTAAAACTGCCTATTCTCCATACCGCACTGACATGCTGCAGTCACTAGAGCGCAAATGGGCCGTTTCTTAGAAAAATGGGCTGAGAGTATGGGAGTGTGAGAGAGATGTGGGTGATTATGCACACACTCCTTCCTTCCCCAAGTGTTCCTCAGGGGCTTCTCCACTTAAGGGGCACTGACAAGACAGGCGGAGTTTTACGTGCGTCTGAGACCAGGTCATTTTTGCCCTTGCTTCTCTTCCTTGGCACGTCCTCACCTAGCAGAAAATCGAGAGAGGCCCTGCTGAGGAGTAAACTTCAGCCTGGCCGTTCACCACTCAAAGTGTGTTACAGCCGAGCGACAGTGGTGAGACAGACCTGCTAGCCTTGCCTTCGGGACCTGCAGCAAGATTTTTGGGTGCTGTCCAAGAATTCCCGCGGTAACACTCAGCGCCTAGGATCTGTACAAAAAAAGCCCCACTAGATGTTTTACGTTCCCTTCGTAATATAATGCTTGGCCTAGATCCGAGCATTCACTCTAAGGTTCGGTTTCTCGATCCTTCCCATCCCCAGCCTCTGCGGGTAGATAGTGACTGTTACTATATTTGAACGAGACTCCAACCCATTACTCTCTCTGGAGCGGAGGATTGGCCGCCTTTTTCCCCGGGCCGGACCTCGGCGAGGCCAGGCAAGCCGCTCACTGGCCGGGCAGGGACGCGCAGGCGTCGGGCGCCGCTGGTTGCGCATCTGGCGCCAGAGCGCGCCCCCAGCGCTGTGCCCGCCGCGACCGTGGCGGTGGGCTGATGCTCCGGAGCGTGCCGGGCGCTCTCTCCCCGCGCGGGGGCACCAGAGCCCTCGGAAGTGTCAGGCACTGCGGTGCATTTTCCCAGTTCTCTTTTAAATGACTGCGGAAAAACAGATTCCGAGCCGCAAAAGGGAAGACGGATTCTCAGACAAGGTTTGCGAATGCCCCGCAGCCGTCATTTAACTGCGCCCGCAGAACTGTTACGGTTTGTCACCCGACCCTCCCGGATCGCCTAATTTGTCCCTAGTGAGACCCCGAGGCTCTGCCCGCGCCTGGCTTCTTCGTAGCTGGATGCATATCGTGCTCCGGGCAGCGCGGGCGCAGGGCACGCGTTCGCGCACACCCGCGCACACATGAACACGCGCAAGGTACGGCAGGGGAGCAAGGGCTTGGGATGCCCTGCGTGGGGGTGGGCATCGCGGGGAGTGAAGCTACGATCTGGGAATGGCTACATCCCGACAGGTTAAAGGATGAGAGAAAATGACGCGGCGCCACACATCGGACAGGCCAGGGTGGCCACCGAGCATTTAGAATACGCATCAGGCGCGCTCCCTTCCCCTCACATGTCTCTATTTCCCGGGCGTGTGATGGCAGAAAACGGCAGGAAAAAGATCCACTTAGAGAGCTAGAATTGTGTTTGGAGACTCCCTTCCCTCTGCAAAAGCACCAACAGGAAGCCCCTCCAAAACCACCGATCCCCAAATAGGTGGCCCGGAATGGGGGCGGTGATCCTTGGTTACCAATGCAGAACACGTTTTGGTGTTTACAACATTTATTTATTTTTAGGATAGCTTGCCCTCCCTTTTAGGCAGGGTGGGAAAGGAGAACGCGGGGAGGGAGAAGGGAGGGAGGATTCCTATAATAAGAATCAGCGCATTTTTCAGAGCTGAACCAAGCACGGTTTCCATTTCAAAAAGGGAGCCAGCCTCTACCGCGATTGTAGAAGAGACTGTGGTGTTAATTAGGGACCGGGAGGCGTCGAACGGAGGAACGGTTCATCTCAGAGGTACCTGGATGTAAATTCACACACACACACACACACACACAGAGGCACGCGCGCGCGTGTCTACACGGCCAGGATGTGTGCGTGTGTGCGTGCGTGTGTGCGCGCGTGTGTGCACTCCCACATGCTGCTGCTGTCTGCTTCTGGCCAGTGGCACTGATGCCTCCCTCCTCCCTGCTCGCCCCCAGATTCCCCTCCCCTCCCTGGTGCTTTTGTCTGGAGGGTGTTATGGGTTTGTGTGTGTATGAGCGCGTGTGTGTTTTTGGATTTCAGACTAATTTTCTGGAGTTTCTGCCCCTGCTCTGCGTCAGCCCTCACGTCACTTCGCCAGCAGTAGCAGAGGCGGCGGCGGCGGCTCCCGGAATTGGGTTGGAGCAGGAGCCTCGCTGGCTGCTTCGCTCGCGCTCTACGCGCTCAGTCCCCGGCGGCAGCAGGATCCTGGACCCAGGCGCCGCCGGCGGGCGTGAGGCGCCGGAGCCTGGGTGAGCAGCGCAGACAGTGCCCTCGGTCGCCTCGGCCCTCCCTGTCTCCCCCTGGGGCGGCCTCGGCTACTCCCCAGGTGGGACGTGCCGCGCCACCTGCCCGCGCCACCGGCACCCAGCGGCCGTGGCGGATTCTGCAGCATCATTCGGGGGCCCCGTCGCGGAGCCAAAACTGCCGGCAGTCTCCGCATTCCCCTTTAAAGGGTCCTTCGCCCGGCCTGTACCATGGAATCCTGTCTCGGGGACCCTTTCCCTACCTCCCCTCCCTTGGCCTCAGGCTCGAAGAGAGAGTGGGCACACTGGTGGCTCCAGCGGCGTCAGTGCCATCGCGGGGCAAGTTGATTCCTGGGCTGGAGCTGGGCACTCATCCATCCACAGTCTCCTGGCTGGGATCGGGGTGGGGATGACGCGAGCGCAGAGGGAGAGTGCTCCAATTAGTGGTGTTGGGGGTCCTACACTCAGTCTTACGCGTATCTGTTTGTCCTCAGCCTCGAGGTGCATACCGGACCCCCATTCGCGTCTAATAAGGAGCCTGCACCCCAGAGAGTCCCGGGAGCGCCGCCGGTCGGTGCCCGGCGCGCCGGGCCATGCAGCAACGGCCGCGGCGGAGCTCCGAGCGGCGGTAGCGCCCCCCTGTAAAGCGGTTCGCGATGCCGGGGCCACTGTGAACCCTGCCGCCTGCCGGAATACGCTCCGCTCCGGACCAGCTCAGCCTGTGATACGCTGGACTCCGCGCGCCCGCAGCAAGCACCGAGGAGTCAAGAGAGCCGCAAGCGCGGGGAAGGCCTCCCCGCACAGGTCGGGGAAACCGGCCGGTGCAGCGCGGGGACACTCACTCGGGCTGGCACTGGCTGCTAGGGATGTCGTCCTGGATAAGGTGGCATGGACCCGCCATGGCGCGGCTCTGGGGCTTCTGCTGGCTGGTTGTGGGTTTCTGGAGGGCCGCTCTCGCTTGTCCCACGTCCTGCAAATGCAGTGCCTCTCGGATCTGGTGCAGCGACCCTTCTCCTGGCATCGTGGCATTTCCAAGGTTGGAACCTAACAGTATAGATCCTGAGAACATCACCGAAATGTGAGTTCCTGGAGCTTTTCCTCTTTTTTCTCCTTGCCCCTAGGGCCCGGGCTGGCCAGATGGGTAGGTCCTGAAAGTGAATGCTGTCTCAAGAGTGGGGAGAAGTCAGAGACAAGAGGTGCAAGACAGGGTCATCTGTCAGTTACCTGTCTGTTTCACTGGCTTGGGACTGCTAGTGCAGGAGAAGTGTGACACTTTAGGATAAGTTTTAAATATAGATATACATATGCCGATTATATATGTATTCCTCGTGGGAAGGAACTCACTGTGCTTTTTATATTTCAAAGCTCTGCTGGGTGTGCTTTAGGCTTTCCGTATGCACTAACTTAGTTTTGGGCATTTTTGTTTCATGAAGTGCTGTGTGTATGTTGTGTTAGAAGTTCCATTAATATTCACTAGAAAAGAGGTTAAAATAATTAACTTTCCCGAATCTGTTGAAGGAAGTGACAGTCTCTCCCTTAACATCTTTTTTGAGGTTTGAGTTAACCACTTTCCCTTTTCATTTTATATATCAGATTTTGCTTAGGAGATGGCATCCAGAGATGGCCTTGAAAATGATCTGTAAGAGGAGAAGTTCTGAGTGTTGAAATGCACTCGCTCAAAAGAAAAAATGTGATCGTTGGAAGCCTAAAAGCCTGGTTTGATTTAATTTGGACTTGACTTCCCAGAGATATGATTTTGAGACCACTAGGATTATAACTCTTAATTGCCCATTGAATAATTTCCCAGGACTAGGCTGGATGATAAAGTAGTGGGTAGAACTCTGATGAATGCTGGCTTAAGCATTGGACCCCTGTATCCCTGGAAATGTTTGAGCTTGTTGTGGCTTGAAGAAACAGAACTGTGTATTTCTTTTCTCCTTTTCTGATGCTTTGTGACAAACACATTACCAAGCAAGAACTTGCCAGTCCTTTCTCTAGCATTCCTGTGTCACCTCTACTGGGCTGTTGTTGTTATTTTTTCCTTAAGGATACTGTCATTCCATACATCTCATTAACGTGAGATTTTATTCATATACGTGCAAGATTGTAAGGCAAAGTTTCTCCCAGTTTTCCTTACTGTGTTTGATACTGAGATAGGCAGCCCTAAAGTGGGGCTTGGGCTGTGGCCTTCCGGTTGTCGAGTGCGCATGCATTTTTCCTTCCACAGAGAACATACAACCATGTTTCTGCCAACGTAGTTGACCAAGATAACCTGTTTTTTACTGTAAGTAAGAGACCTTCCTAGTCTCTGTTGCCTGTTCTGCTGCTGAGGCTTATGGTATAAGCCTCAGGCAAAAGGAAATGACAGCAGAGCGGAGGGGAATGTTCAAGCCTAGCATAGCTGAGACGTGTTGGGACTATCGGACTGAGTCCAGGGTGCTAGGATCTCTATCTTTGTGGCAAGGAGAGCAGGAGCAAGAGCGGAGAGCAAGGGTGGATAGGGTCCCAACTGTGGTGGTCTTGGACTGGGCTGGTTGAGGCTTACCAGGCTGGTCCAAAGTCTGTGGCCTTTTGTCAGAATCTTTTTCATGAGATGGGGTGTCAGTATTTAGATGGAGGAGGCCATGTGGAATTCAGAGTGCTTCTGACTGTTTTGAGATCATGGGGAGTGTCTTACACAGTTAGATATTGTTGTGTGTGTGGTGGTGGTGCTTTTGAAATTCTGTTTTAGGAGACAGATGCATATAATGAAGAGAGAAATAAGATAGAGCTGATCATTTTCACTTTAATTGTTTTTCTCTTTGATAATTTTTAAGGCCATGATCTGAGAAAAAGGAAATAAAACTATCTTTAAATCTAAAAAATTATTATTTTAGACCTTCCTGATCTTAGCTATCGAATGTATATGAAATCAATTGATTTCAGCAGAGCTTTCTTATATCTGTCCTCACAATTGTTGTTGCTTCTTTTATATCTGATGGCAGATTCCTATTTTCAGCTTTTCTAAAGTAGGTTTTTAAAATATTTACTAAAGCGTGTGTCATAGTTATTCATTCAATCGTGGCACTTCTAATTTCTACTTTAATTTTTTTCCCTTTTGATTTGAAAACGTCTTGGGGTTGTGGGAGTGGAGAGGTATATAGGGCTAAGTGTTGAGAACAGGGAATTAGGATAGTAATAGTAGTCTGGCTGGGTAGATGTGAGTCCTGAGACAAAGTAAGCTTCTCTGCTCTATCTCAGCTTCATGTGAGCCCAGCCAGTTTGTGCCCCAGTGCCTTTATCTGTAATTCATAGTACGATACTTATTTGGAAAGTACTCCATATCATTGTTTTGAATTCTGCTTTTTTGACCTCAAAATGACGTCGGTGGATGCGCTTGTTTCATCTCATCCTTAGATGACACAATCTGTGTTCTTTTTCTTACATGTTAATATTTGCTTAAACAACGTTTAAATTCTTGGCCAGTGGATACCAGCTACAGTTGGAACCAAATTATACATATTTTAAAACTTTGATATTAGGCCCAGTGGTATTCCTAAAATAACCTGTTGTAAAGTTCTGGTTTAATGGCATGTAGCTGAAGTTACGTGCTCCTATTTTTTAAAAATAGAAATAATGTATTGAATAAACTGTGATTAACAACACACAACTTGCTGAAACAACAGTTTACCACATCATTCAAAAATGGTGTCTCTTTTAGCATCTATATATTAAACCATCCTGCCCTTAGGGTTCTAAGAACACAAATAGCGGAACATTTAAAAAACGTATAGATTAAGAGGTAGGATCTTTTTGTGTTGTTGTTTTTACATGCATGCTTTAAGCTAAGCTGACATTTTGTCCTCAGAGTCATTGAACCTATTTTATTAAAAGTCTTCCCATCACAGTACCTGTTTTATATTTTTTGCTCACTAATGTGACATAACCAGATCAGTATCTATCTATAGGTATGTATAACGCCTGCTCTGCATCACACTGCTAAGTGGCAGCTCCTGTTATTTGGAAATGGTTATACCACAGCAGTGTTAAAATGAATTTAAACACAGTACCAATGTCACATGCAATGGAATTCAAGAGTGAAGCCTGTTGTTGGGAATTACGTAACTGGCCGTTTAAATCCCAGTGTATTAAGTGCCAAAGTGCATTGCAAAGGACAAGTTCTGTTTCACCCAAGTGGTAAAAGGCACAGTCCAAAGAAGTCATGCATTTTTTTAGCTGTGGTAAAAAAAAAAAAAAATACATAACCTAAAATTTACCATCTTACAGTTCGGTAGTGTTCTGTATATCCACGTTTTTGTGGAAGGGCATGCATTTTTATGTTGCACATGCTTTATGAAGACCAACACGGATCTTTTTTTGAGTTTCTTCAGTGGTATTCTCTGTTTTGGGGGTAATATTTGAGACAAGCCTTATATTTTTCCTCTTAGCACAACCTAAATAGAATTTGAAGCTTCTCCTATCACAGACTCTATGTGCAATTTATTGTTGGCCTGGTTAAGCAGCTGTGATGTTGTGTCATTAATACATTGATTTTGGCCCTCTTACTTTAGTAAGCTTTGCCATTGCAATTAATTGTACTTAAAAAAATCCTGGCATTCACAAAGATTCAGTGAAAGGCATCAGTTTTTATTACTCTGATGTTTACTTCTCAGCCCCTCCATTGGGGATTTTAGAACTTTGGATTGTGGCTTATATGCATTTAAGAGCTATGTATTTAAATTTGGAGCATGGTTGCATAAGCCACACTAGACTTGTTAATAAATAAGGCAGTCTAATTTACATCATTCATTATTTAATACAACTTGCAAGCTGGAGTTGAGAACATGCTGTCTTCGTAGTGTAGGTATTTACAGACATCAGCTTGGCACAACTGTGTGGAGTCTTTTTAGTCTCATACCTTCAATCTCTGCAACATGGACACTTCTGTTACCCTGGGTAAACCGATGGAAAAGCCTTGTGACCCTTTTGACCCTACTTTCTTCCACCTCCCCTTCCATCACCCATTATTTACTATACTGGAAAATGGGTTTGATTTTTTTCTTCTCTGAAAAGTGATATTTCCTTATGGGAATTCAGAACCCTGGAGTTGAGAGAAGAGCCTGGGTTGTACGTTATTACAAGCAAGTAATGGGAAGTTGAAGCAATGTGGTCCCAGCTCCCTAGCATCGAGTTTAGGTCTGTTTAAGGTCTCTCACTGTTTCTATCCCATAAACCTCTGTTTGTGTCTGTTCCAATATTCCCTTATAAAGAGGTTTTCTAAGCTGAAGAGTTGGCTGAACAGCTGAGAGTTGAAGTCTCCTTCTCCCTAGGAATATTCTGTATGATCTCTTTGACTGTATCTAGGTCATAGGAGTGTAAAAACTAGAGTTTTTGTTTAGCTGGGGAAGGGGAATTGAATTTCTTTTCTCTTTTCTCTTTTACTTTCTTCTTCTTCTTTTTTTTTTTTTTTTTTTTTGCCTTGGGTATTAAGCAAGTGAATCCAGTTTTAACCCATTGCTCATCTTAGGGAAAAAACATTATCAAACCATTATTGAATACCATAAACTGGCCTTATCCCTCTGGCTAACTTTACCACTTCTCTAGAGAGTTTCTTGTAGGTTCAGAAGCTATAGGGTAGGATGTGACATGAAAGACCTGCCTCTTGGAACAAGGCCAGTTTTTAGTTGCTCCTGATGCCTGTAATCAATGGGAGGATTTGGGGGAGAGACTACTGAGGCGTGGCAAAGTTTTTACTTGTTTGATGTGTGTTTGTGAGAGAGAGAGAGGGAGAGAGAAAGAGAGAGGGAAGAAAAAAAAGCCCTGAATCTTGGATTATTTATAGTTGATCAATCATTTTTATAGTCTACTTGGTTGAGCTATTTTAAAACAAATCCCACCTCAAGCCTCAAATGGCAAAGATCTGAGCTCCACTGTGGCCTGATAATTTTAGCTCACATTTGATTGCTGATCAATCTCCATTAGAAAAGTAAAGGTCCCACATAACTGGGTGCCTTCTCACCACTTAACTTTGCTCTCTGGGGTGTCCGAAGGACTGGGAAGTCATAAATATTGATCTGGGAGATGGATGAGTGAATGTGC